TACAGGCTGGATTATCCCCTCTTTCTCCTGAAGAAGGTCTAGAGGTAGCCCATGAAATCGGTGGGAGGCAGGTTTCAAAACAAGCAAGAGGAGTTGGTTCTTTGATCAACAAGTAGCTCAGCTGTGGCTGTGTTAGTGCAGCATTGTCAGTGTGTGTTGTTATTGATAATTGACATGTCATTCAATTATTGTGACCGCATTAGTTGTCATTAGTCGTGTTCTGTCAAGTTGTGTTATCTGACTGCTGAGAATTAATTTGCAAAGTTTCCTTCAAACCCGTGTATCCCCTCCACAGCATCTCTGTCATTTTTTTGTAGGATTTTTCCGTCATTCATTTGATGAAGTCATGACTTCTTAGTACTAACCCATCTTTTGCTTCACATATTCCTCTTTTCTGTCCCTTCTATCACAAAAGGATGGTACATAAATGCACAAAATCACAAAAAGCGTAGTATATAATTATGATTAGATTAGAAATATTCAAGAAGTCAGCTGTTAGATGGCAGTGATACTGGCAAATAATGATCATTGGTGTCATGTCAACACAAGCAAAAGCAATTATTTTTGAGCCATCTACCACCACAAAAGCAGGTGTAGGAAGAAACTACCAATTAAAGATGAAAATACTTGAGGTCAGGTATGTAGTCTATGATTAAACTGGTACTTAATGCACAATTTTTCTTTCGCTATTCTGTTGAGCTCTTTCCATGTGTTAATAAATTTCTGTGGCTGTTTGAAACTCTTTGGTTACAGGTTTCGGCCAACTCCTACTTTATTGTTGGACTTGTGTTTTTAGGGTGAGCTGGTTGCCTGGACCCTGGGGATTACCTCGTCTCTTGAAATCCTAAATGTGTCAGGCAAGCACTGGTGTGTCAGCAGTCAGATACAACTGCGTTTTGTCTGCTGCTCTTCACATGGTCATTGTTTATGACAAAGCAACGCTGCCCCAGAACATGATCCCTTTGCTCAGGCATCTCCTTGTCTCACCCCACATCCCAAATTCCATTTCATCCGTGTAACATGAACACAACCCTAAATCCTTGCAGAGAAGGAGACTGAATTTATGCAGTTCTAAATAAGAAATGTTGTTCCCAGCAACGTGGATCAGATTTGAGGCAACAGGACTGAAGGGTGCAAGGCGTCCATGGCGTCCCTAAACAGTAATTCTCTTGACTTGTGTTTCTGAAGCAACAGCCATCTCAGAGGAGCAGGCTTGACCGCTGGCAGAAGTCTCCTAGCAATCTGTTTGACTCAGGGCACCAAGACAGCCTCATAAAACCTTGCACAAAAGAGGGCAATATTGAAGTTACCAAGCAACAGAGAATGTGGTATTTACATCTAAACCACAGAGGTCCTGGGCAAGGGGGCAGAAGCACAGGAGTTTTTCCTGAGTTCTTGGTACACTTTGTACCCAGCCCCATAGAGGGTAACGAAATGGAAATGGTTAAGTGCGCATTTTTAAAAGATGTTACACTGAAAATGGAGTTGCACACTTGCTGTGTTATTTTATGATACTCCTGAAGACAGAGGGATGTATCTCCCATATTACTAGAAGGCTCCTGAAAGCACCACTCGTTCCCTTTAACTTCAGGTGCCTGCAATAGAAACAACTTCATCTGACCCAGTCACAGAGCCCCCTTTTCCAGGCCAGGGGGAGAACTGGCCCTTTCACCAAGGTGATCCGTCAGATGTACTGCACACTCCTGGTTTAGGACAAGATGACGTGCCTTCTCCATGACTCTCTGGTCGGATGACTAGTTCCGCTGCAGACATCTGCGCTCAGACATGCCCGTAGCCAGTGCCCCTGAAAACTGGTACAGATCCAGAGTCATAAAGCCATCGTAAAGGCGACTGGTGCAAAGAGAGGCACCTGAAACCTCTAACGGAAAAGCCAGAAGGGGGTTTCTGTGCTCTCATGAGGGAGCTCTCTTGATGTTCCTGTGTGGTAACAGTCCACAAAAGCACTGTACTGGAGCAGCCTAAAGCACTGCCAGCCCAGTTCCCTGACTGTGAGAAGGCACATCCAGAATCTGAGGGAAAGGGTGTAGAAACATTGCAAGTGTGCAGTGATGTTTCTCTCCGTGGATCTAAGCTCAGCTTCATTCAGTGATTCTTTCAACTTCCACAAAACCCTGAGACAATAAATTCACAGTTTAGTTGTGTGTTGTATGAAAATGTACTTCCACTTAACTCTTTTTAAACTTACAATCTGCTCTATTCATCCCTACATTTTTGTTCTTCACTCACCCCACCCGTCCCAATCTCTTTTCTCTCCAAATTCACAAGTCCGTATCCATTTAGTGTCTCCTAGTGTGGAAGCTATATCCTTTTGGGGATAGAGAAGTGAGAACTGGGTATTGTTTTCAAGATGAAGGCCCACCATCGATTTATGGAGTGCCCTAATAATGTTTGCAGTTTTATTCTCTGTCCTTTGCTGACATTTGATTGCTTTCACATTGCTAAGCATTGAACTGCTCTTTGCAGGAAATAACCATAAGGACTCTGAGATCTCTCCTCTGAGTAGTACTAGCTAATTCTGAACCCATCATTGTTTATATCTATAGCTGGGGTTGTTTTTCTGAATGCATTACTTCGCATCTATCAACACTGAATTTCTTCTGCCATATCATTGCCAGTCACTTAGAATGATGCCATACTTCTGCAGTTCTTTACAACCAGGTTTTATTTTCAGTACTTGAAATTACATTTTCTTATGACTAATTTTGTCAGCTCACTAATCATTTGCCGTTTCAGATGGTTTTTGAATATGGGGAGAGGCTCAAACTCCATCAGTAGCTTCCCACCCCCTGTTTCCTCTGTCTTAACTGGTTGGTAGCCTAGGAGCCCTTCCCTCTCAGCTGCAGTAATACTTGTAACGGGAAGATAAATAGCTGATGCTAACAACAAGCCAAGCATGGAGATACACTGGCCCCGTGGAGACAAGTCCTCCACCGTCCAGGGCGATGCCTGAAGCCAGTGCAGAGAGTTGCCTGACGGAGCTCACCTTTTTAGCAACTGCAAAAGGAGTTTGTGGTGACAAGCTTGGATTTAGCTGTCTAAAATGGGTTGGGAATTTTGTATTCCTGGCTTTCTCTAGCTCATGCTGTTGGTGTGTTAATTTGTGGTTTATTAATGCCCCTGCCAGTTTGCCTAGTGCATACCGAGGAGCAGTGCAGCACTTCCATGTCTGGTTTTCTTTAGGGTGGATACTGTCTGGTCCTAGTAAATTGTTATTATTAGTTTATCAATTTTTCTGAAAAACTCTTCATCTGCTGCTTCAGTTTAAGAGTCTTTCCAGTGATTAAGGGATTGGAGCATTTGTCATATGAGGAGAGGCTGAGAGAGCTGGGGTTATTTAACCTCAAAAAGTGATGGCTCAGAGGGGTTTATCAGTGTCTTTAAATACCTCATGGCAGGGGGAGTATAGAAGATGGAGCCAGGCTCTTCATAGTGGTGCGCAGTGAAAGAGTAAGAGGCAATGGGCGCAAATTGAAATACAGATTTCCTTTAAACATTTTTATTTTGTTTTATTTTGTTTTATTTTATTTTGTTTTATTTTATTATTGTTTTTTTAAAGAAGAATTTTAAAGGCTTCTATTTATTCGTCTTTGGAAAGGAAAAGGAAAATGAGAGTGGTTGAACACTGGCACAAGTTGCCCTGACAGGTTGTGGAGGCTTCAGCCTTGGAAATATCCTTAAAGCCAACTGGGCACAGTTAGCAACCGGCTGTAGCGGACCCTGCTTTGAGCATGGAGGATTGGATAGCTGATCTCCAGAGGTGTCTCCAGCCTCTGCGTTTGAGTTGTACCACCGCAGGCTGTAACAGTGAGACCCCCCCCAAGCTCTGCTGTGAATATTTCTGCAAACGTGAGCGGTTTGGTCTTGGCCGTGCCTTTCTTGGGCACTCCCTGTACACCTTGACCATCTTTTAGTTTTATAGGCTCTCTGGTAGGTTTCTGATTTTTGGAAAAACTTTATGATTAGTTTTTATGGTTTTCAGAATATTGCTTCTTAAAACATTTTCTGGCCTTACCATGACTGGAAATTGTGCAGTTTCCTGTTTTTCTCATTCTCAGTTTCCACTTTCTGAAGCATGTCATTTTACTCTTAATAGTCTCCGTTAATCTGCTATTTAACGACGAGAACTCTTTTCTGGTCTCTTTATTCTAAGCCTCTAATATGGTTACTTCATGTAATTTCCTTGCCACTTCCAAGCAGTTTATCTTTTTGGCGGCTGCTTTTAATTTAAGTTTAGCGAGTCCCTTGTCCTGTCTTTGGATGGGATGAATCACCTTACAGGTGCCTGTTAACACAGTCAGCTTGGATTACACACCTAACTTTAAAATGAGGGTCGTTTTAGCCCACGAATCCCTGCTGTGTGTGACCTGCCCTGTTCCTAATACATATAAGAAAAGGCTGTTTTCTTGCCTGGAAACTACCACACCGTATAGGACTCTAGCTGAAAAACTGAGGCTTGTCTTTGTCTGTTTCACCATCTCTGCATAATATCTGTTTAATTTTCTGACAGATATATCTAATTATTGCGTGATTAAATAAAAAAATATTGTATGTTAAAAGTAAAACCACCTGTTTGACTTTTTTTCCCCGGTAACTGATGTTGAGGGTCCTCACTGTTATGCTGTTAAAAATGAACAAACGTTTTCATTTGAGGTTGGTAGATCTGGGGGAATAACTCCACTTTGTCAGCCGCATGTTACTGTAACAAGGAGAGTATTGCCACTGAGAACTCAAACAACCCACGAGGGGCTTGCTTCGTTGCTGGTGATTTATGCTGATTATTTTGAATTTAAAAATGTACTTGGTGGAACTGGGTATTTGGGTCTGTGAATTGCACACAGGCACTACTGGGACAAGTACCAAATACCAGAGTGTGGCCTTGGTGGGTGCCATTCATTGGTGTGGTGGATTCGGTGCCTGCTCAGCATGGGTGTAAATGGGGGGGGACACTGATGAAGCTGTGTCCCCTTGTTCTCTGCCAGAATATCCACCTGGTGGCCAAGTGGCTGAGTTCTCTGGAGAAGAAGCTGGAGCAGCACAGTGAGGGTAGCCACCAGAATTTCCGTGTCTTCATGAGTGCAGAGCCGGCGCCCTCCCCTGACAGCCACATCATTCCCCAGGGCATCCTGGAGAACTCCATCAAAATCACCAACGAGGCCCCGACCGGGATGCACGCCAACCTGCACAAAGCCCTCGACAACTTCAACCAGGTAGGAGCACAGCGGGGCTTGCGCCAGCGGCTGTCCAACAGTTCGGCTTGGAGCTGCTGGAGCCCCATGTAGAGTGTGACATGTGGGGGCATTGCTGCTCCCAGGCAGCTGATGTGCGAGTCCTTTTGCATCCTGTCGTCTCTGGATCCAACAACCCCCTCCTCTCTCCTCCAGGAGCAGGGCACAGATCTCTTTCCAAGCACTGATTTTCCCAAGAGAGAACTCAGGTAATCCTGAACGGCCTCTTTCTTATAGATGGTCACAGGATACCAGACTTCTGCCCACTTTAAACGTTTTCTCACCAATGTATGATCCTTAGAAAGGCTATTTTGTTACTGAATCAAACTTCTGAATGCAGCATTTGGGAGGCTTCTGTCACGTTTCAATTTGATTTCGGCGTTTGCGTCCGTCATTTTTGGGCTGGCCAGTGACAGGGAGAGGTGAGCAGGTTAAACTTTGGGATTTTTCCCTTCTGTTTAACCAGGGTTAGAGGTTCAGAACTGCTGATACAATCACATCCCATGTCACTCTTCAGAGCAGCATAGGGGGACCGGTGTTGTGTGGCCAAAGGCCATTCGGCTCGAAACCTTGCAGACATCAGAAGGGCTGCAAATGAGAGCTGGAATCTCCCCGCAGGGAGGACTTGCTCTGCCAGGCGAGGTAAAGCAGGCCGTCTAGAGAATTGCTGGCCCGCAAGAAGAACCGCTGCTGGCAGGTCGCTTGTTGCTTTCATTGCGTGGCGACCACCTACACGCGCTCCCGTTGCAGCAGGCACCGTCCCCGCTCTTTGTTGCTGGAACTGCAGCCGAGCCTCTTGTGCAGGGGACACAAAAGCGAAGTGTGCGGAAATGATGGGAAATGTTCTTTTCTTGGTGCCACGGAGGGTACGGATCGGTGCTAGAGTCACCCTAGCATGGGGATTAGACCCATGTTGTGGCCTCACTCGGCGGCTCTGGGCGCCGCAGGGCAGGAGGCTGCCGAGATCAAGTGCCAGGGGCTCCCCAGGGAACAGCCTGTGTGTCGGGGTGTGCTGGAGCCTGGTGTGTCTCACTGCTGGAGGTGGCCGTGCCTCTGCTGACCCCGTTTTCTGCATGACACGACAGGCTAAGGACTAACCACTTGCATTTGTGACGATACCTTTCCTAGAGACACAGACCATTGCACTCTGCTGCCTCAGATGCTCAGTACCTTCGCTCACACGTCGCCGTTACCTTGGCACGTTGAGCTCTCACAGCAGGACCCTGGCTGTTAAACCCAGAGCAACTAGAAGGGCCTGAAGGTACTTTCAGCCCTCAGGCTGCCTTTTTAGATGACTAGTGCTGCAGTTACTGCAGCTTCTCCGTGCTGCTCATGACCGTGCTGGGAACACGCAGGGGCAAACCTTGCGGGATTGCTTTTTTTTTGTTTCCATACAGCCTCGTGTAATTTGGGACAGTCATGGACCCCAGGCACTGGTCCATGGGGCAGAGAAATGGGGGCAGCTCACAACTGTTTTTGCACTTAGACGTTGGTATAGAGGGAATATCGAGTGCAGGAGCTAACATTGCTGAGCAGGTGAGGCAGGGAAGCACCGTGCAAGTATTAATGTGAGTAATCAGGGAAAATTATTCCATTTTTAATGTACTGTCATTCATCATCTTGAACTCCACGAAGTGTCCTGGAGAGCAAGGGAGGGGAGAACCTTCACCCCAAGTAACATTTTCATCCTGCCTCTGCTCATTTCAATCAGATAGTAATTAGCATTTTCTAAATTGCTGGAGTATTATAAAATGTCTCTTATCAGAAATCCTGGAGCGAGTGGGTGGGACCCCTTTACACCTCATTTCCCTTCTTTATACAGAATGGATGTTCAAATTTAGCTTTCAGCTGAAAGCTGCAAAGAAGGCCCATTGTTCTGTGCAGGGAATATTGTTCTGCTCTGTAGCTGAAGAAAAATGCACAACTGAAGAGAGAGGCTGAATGAGACTGAGCTGGATTCTCACTCAGTGTTCATTCAGGCAAGCTCCCCTTGGAGCCCAGGGTCGTTTTCTGAAATGAGGAAGGTGTTCCACATATATTTGAACCGTTTCTTCATCAGGTTGTTCATAATGAAGGGAGCTTAGAGCGCTGTCTAATCAAGGGGAAAACAGGGTTTGGGATGTTCTTGATCGTCTTGCACACTTTAGAGTAATAGAGTTAGTGAACATCTTACATGCTTTAAAGTAATGGATTCCCCCTTTTCAGCACAGACCCTGAGCTCTGTTATGCTCCCCAGACGATTAGAGGTCTAACATTTTATTTTCTTAAGATAAAGATAAGGAAAGGAAGTCCCGTGGCCGCCCTTTGTAGTCTTTGTCATATAGCAGAGTGGACTTAAAGGGGCTGTCCCTGGGGAGGGAGGGTGGAGGGGCTGGTGTACCTATTCCTCCTTGCTCAGCTGTGCAGGTTGGAGCCACCCTGGACGTGCCATTCCCAGGGAGGTTTTGCAGAATCCTGGGTGAAGGTGCACGCAAGCCCCTCCCAACACATCTATCTCCGAGGTCTCCAGAGATCCGTACTGTTGGCCATGGGAGATCCCATCGGGTTCCTGCCGGGGGGCAGGGGATCTGCTGCCCATCCACGCTGCTCTTGCCGGTGCAGAGCGAGGGCCTGAGCTGTGCAAGCCTTCTCCGGGCTTCAGCCGCAGAAAGGGGGTTCAGCTTCCCCCCGAGAGCCGGGATTCACCCTCATGCCATGCACGCAGCTGCAGCCCTTCATCCTTTCTGCTGCTCTGCTTCCCGTAGCATCGAAGCTCACGCTGCTGGGAACAGGCGTGCCTGCCCAGGCTTTCCCTTGGTGCCCGCCCGCTGAGACACCACTCTCAGCACCATTCAGAGTTCTTTGGACCAGTTCCCTTTGTTCATTTTCATTGATTAAATTACTCAGGCTCCTTACCCTCCACCTCTGACATCACAATTCTGCCTATTCGTTTGCAGATATTCCAAATTTAATCATCACCTGGAAGCTGGGAAAGGAAGCACCCATTGCTGTGCTGGCTTTAAAGGCCTGCAGTAGATTTTTTTAGGTTTTTTGGGGTTTTTTTTACAAGTGCTTGATCTTCTCTGCTTGGATTTTTAGCCATTTCTTGCGTCCCGCCTTTGGTGTGCTGCACAAAGTTGTTCTGTCAGCGAATACCCTGCTGCAGCCCACGGCCGGGCTGGCTTTGTGCAGAGGGTCACAGCAGCAGGAGCAGAGCCTTTCTGGAATAACTCCCTGCTGCTTCAGCCCTGCAGCTCAAAGAAATGCTGCCCCAAGGAATTTTTGTACTCAAGGGGCAAGACAGACTTTAGTGCTTCCAGGTACAGTCCTCCTTCGGCAGGAGCCTTGCTTATGGCCACAGTCCCGGTCCTACTGCTTGCCCTGTGTGGTGCCTATTTCCATTTTCCTGGTGTGGGATGAGTGGCACATGCAGGTGATGGGGCGTTGGGTGGGTGCACGTGTCCTTCCCTTCTTGGCTGTCAGTATGTCTTCCTGTGCAAAGACACTCTGAGTTGGAAAACAAAATATTAATTCAGAAAATAGGCATCAGAATTTGCTGATAAATTTGCAGTGCAAAGCCACTAACTTAGAAAATTAGTGAATGTGTATATTATGCAGAAATGAACTGATTAGGCAAATCAGCTCACCCCTGTCCAAAGTCCGGCGTATATGGGAGGCCCTGAGAGTCACTGAGACTGAGGGCAGTGTGGGCTTACACAGCCTTGCCTCTCTGCCTGTATTGCAGGACACCCTGGAGATGTGCACCCGGGAGAATGAGTTCAAGAGCATCCTCTTTGCCCTCTGCTATTTCCATGCCGTGGTGGCAGAAAGGCGCAAGTTTGGCCCCCAAGGCTGGAACCGTTCCTACCCTTTTAACACTGGAGACCTCACTATCTCTGTGAACGTGCTGTATAATTACCTGGAGGCCAGCTCAAAGGTGCGTGAAGTGTGCTGGAAGTCCTGGGAATTCTCCTGAAGTGCCATTTCCTTGGTATCTTTGGTTTCATAACTTGACAGTTCGGTATAACTCTGTGTGAGATGGGAAGCTTCAGTGCCACTCACATCTGTAGCATCTTCCAGATCATAGCAAATAGTGCCTACGATCTTTATTCATTGATAATGCACAGTGGCCCTTGGTTCAACAGAGCTTAGTATAAATTTGCATTTCAGTGGGAAACTGCACGAAATCTATTCTGTGATCCCGTTTTCCTTGGGCAGGATTTAACTACTACCTAATATTTGTTTACTTAGAAAACTGAAAGAGTGAAGCAGAAGCATTGGCTGTGCAGATCAGTGCTTGGTGCTGTAGCCTGCAGCTCAGCAGCAGGGCTGGTGGAGCTCTGGCTGTCTGAACTCCTTCAGGCCCTACTGGTTCACTCCTCAGGTCCCATATGATGATTTGCGCTACCTTTTTGGTGAGATTATGTACGGAGGTCACATTACAGATGACTGGGACAGGCGGCTTTGCAAAACCTATTTGGAAGAATTCATTAAGCCAGAAATGCTGGAGGGAGAACTCCTTCTTGCTCCAGGATTCCCCCTCCCAGGGAACATGGACTATAATGGCTATCATCAGGTAAGCTCTTTCTTTTCTGGCATTATTTATACACATAAACGTAATGTCTTCCATAACTGCCCTATAATCTGTTTTAGGAGGCAGTGAATAAGACTGCAGTGTTTCAACACACCTCCTGTTATTTCCCATTATCCTCTGTTTCTGTAGATGTTTCAGCATTCCCTTGGATGAACGAAGTCTAATGGTAATTTGCTACTTCATCATGGGCACATTCTGTTCATGCATGAATAGAACAACTGTATTGGTTCTTGAGACTTGAGCAGGGCTCCTGGAAAATTACATCCACATACTGTTTGCTAAAATGGCTCTTTCAAGCTCCTTTTATCATCAATTTCAATGAGAAACACTGAAGGGTCTTGTTGATCTACTTACTGATCTCATCTGTTTTTTGTACACAAATGCGGTAGCAGTGAAAGGCATATTAGGCTGGTTTTGTTCATAAAACTTAGCTACTGGAAGCTAAATTCCCACAAGAGATTCCAGGATACTGATGCTGAAATGCACAGCGCATAATTGCTAGAGAAGGTCCAGGCCTGAGATATGTAGCCAAGCCAAACTTTAGCAATTACTACATTTTCACAGCAGGAGTAGAAGCAGTTCTGTAAATAATCGTGCACTCCTTTCTCCCACCAGAAACTGGTGTTTCAGCCACAAGCAGAGTTATATCAGCCTGGGCTGACTTACTCAGATGGGTAATAGTTCCCGCGCTGTGAACTCCGCAGGCGAAGTGCCCTGGACTCTGTGTCTAACCTGAAAGTGAATTTCTCTGTGCAGTACATAGACGATGCCTTGCCTGCAGAGTCTCCTTACCTGTATGGCCTCCATCCCAATGCTGAGATTGGCTTCCTGACCCAGACCTCGGAGAAGCTCTTCCGTGTCGTGCTGGAGATGCAGCCTCGGGACACCAGCATGGGCGAAGGAGGAGTGGTGACCCGGCAAGAAACGGTGAGAGTGGCAGAGGAAGGAGCTGTTGTATTTTGATACCTGTCTCGTTCATAAGTAGTTCTGTTTAGCTCAGATTTGTCTCACAACTGCTTACTGTATTGTGTTCTGCCTTTGCTGGGTACAAACTGAGTGTCTAAAACGACCAGCCTCGTATTATGCAGAACATCACCACGGTGGGATGTCATTGGAGTATTGTCAGTAATAGGACAGTGGCTTTTAATTACCCCCTGAACTGCAGTGCCTTCATTATCATCCTGTGAAGATATTGCAAATAAACCTTCTGTGGCCTCCACTGTCTCTGAGCCACTGGTCCCTGTGCACCGTGCTGTGACTGGCATACCAATGGGCTCTCTGAGCGCACCACCTGCCAGGTACAGTGTGCCGCCCAGAGCTCAGCCTACCTCCTATCGCTGCTGCTAGGTCCCACCCAGCTCCTAAGCTCCCTGGTGCTTTGTAATTCCTTATTTCCAGCTGAACTCCCTTGCTATGCCTATGTACTGGGCTGATCTCAGCCCTTCCTCTCGAAACTCGCAGCTCATTAAAATTTGGCCCAAGCATGCATAACAAGATCTGAAACAGCCAACACTTACTCAGCTTTTTATTTCAACAGTCTTAAGGTCCCAGCTGTGTTTCAAGCTTTGCAAATTGATGAATGGCGAATAGAAAGCTTATATGAAGTCTGTGGTTTCACACATGCTTCCTTTGGCTTGGTGTGGAGCTGAGGAATTTACTACTTTTGCCTAAGGGGCTCTTAGAAGTGCTTGGCATGTTAAATTTTCAGTTCATACCGGAATTTGAGGTGGGGGAAATAATCCAGAGGTAGAAAAGCCAAAGAAGATGCTCAAAGACAGTGAAAGTGACTCCCTCTTCTCCCCTCCCAGTCCTTTTGCTATTGAAATACAATTAAACTCATTGACCAGATAAGCAAAATTGTCAGTGAGTGATCCAGCAGTGGTATCACGGGACGCAGTTACCCTGCAGACTCCTGGTCACCGTCAAGAAGACTGTCCCAGGAGCACAGAAGTCCTTGTAGGTTTCATGATCTCTCTAAGAAGAAAAGCTGCCCAAAAGCAACCTGAGTGTCACCCCACTGCACTGCATTGTGCCTGGGGGCATGATCCCACAGCTAATCTTCTTCTGGAGGTGATCTCTGTCATTACATGAGCTGTAACTGGCATTGGCTGTATCTTTTTCACTTGGTCCTCAAATGAGAGTGAGTTAAGAGTTGTCTCTGAGCTCCTCCATCTGAGGTTTTCCAGCCCCTGTTTCGGCTGAGACTGTTTTAGGTAGCTTGCAGGGAAACTGCGAGCCTGTCATTTTCCTGAGGCTCTGACAAGTTCAGTTACTCCCACAGGTTTCTGAGGCCCCATTACAGAAAACAAGCTGTAATTGTGAAAAAATCAGAGCCGAAGGGATTTGCAGGGGAATTTCAAATTACAGGGTATTTCTATACTGCACCTGAGGTGCAGCCAAAGAGCTTTTCCACACGAGCTTTAGCTTGAGCCACCTAGCTGGTTGCAGTAACAGCCTACCCCTCACCACCTCTTCGTAACGTCTGACGCAAGCATGGGGAGTTTGGAAGAGCAGCAATGGAGGGAAGTCGGAGTACAGCATCCAAGTGGGCATGGCAATGAAATTACCCTGGGCTGCCTCTGACACTGGCTGGCAGCTGTCGCTGGCACCCGCATGCCAGGTTTTGCACATCAGATCGTAGACTTGTAACTGCATTGTGCGTTCCTGAAAAATCCCCAAGCAGCAGAAGACTTGCTCAGGTTCCAGCGCAGAAGTAAAGAAAAACATTGCTTGAAAGACTTCCATACCAAGCTGCCTAACGGTCCTCGTAAACCTGAAAGACACAGCTGATCCCATGAAGATTAGGGGCTTCGTGCCTCGTTATCAACCAGAAAGGTTTTTGTCCGCTTTATTTATTCTTTTAGACACTAGAAACATCCTGTTGCGTTGGAACTCTCCATGTTTAGTATTTAGAGATACAAAGCGCTGTTTCCAAATCAAGCTGTGATGGTGACCAGAAAATAATTTTGGTTTATTATGCTTTCTTCCACGGCTTTATTAGTTCAAAATGCCAAGTTCAGCTTAAAATTAAATTTTATGTAATCACCTCTCTCTATCAATATACCACAGAAAACCAGCTCATAAGCTCACTTGTCCTGAGGCTCAGCTGAGGCTATAGCCCCATCCGTCTTCTTGCATTGAACGTGACCTTAGGAGAAGTAAGAATACAGGCTTGAGACCCAAGAAGAAAGGGGACTGCTACATGTCATAGTGACTTTTTTAAACCATCATTTTGAAAGCTTCCTGTCTGACATTAACTTTTGTAAGCATTTGAATTTTAATAGGATGGGGCAAGCTCTCTGAAATGTGTCGTGCCCAGCGCAGCTGACACGGATTGTTTCGGAGACACTAAGTGGCAGATGGAGTTTTCAGACTGCGGTCAGGCAGCTGTCAGCTGAGGAAGCTCGGCGGGTCATTCACTAACATCCCTCTCTTTTCCATTCGGCACACAGGTGAAAGCTCTTCTGGAAGAGATGTTAGAGAAATTGATGGATGATTTTAACATTGCAGAACTGATGACAAAGGTGGAGGAAAGGACGCCATACGTTGTGGTTGCCTTCCAGGAATGTGAGCGCATGAACATCCTTACCAGTGAAATAAAGCGCTCTCTCAAGGAGCTGGATCTGGGGCTGAAGGTAGGAGCTCTGGATGCTTGTGATTGCAGTGTTGTAAAATCCTGATGAATGGAAAAAGTGCTCAGGGAATAAAAGGGGTCACACTCTGTATTCAGCACTCCTGGCTGCAAAACCAACTTGACTCCATGGGGAAGAGTTCACAAATGGATTTCAAATGGTACATTGTCCTCAGGCACTGAGAGAGGTTAAAGATACACATACTGATGACTTCTTTTGGGAACAGAGACCAGGCATTTCTGTCCATCTGATGTTGTAGCACAGTGATGATAGGTTACTCAGAAATTGAGATGTGGCCTATTTAAACGAAAGCCAAAAAATCACACCTTTTCATGAAATGCCCAGGTACTGGGGTGAACTTTTAACAAAGTGTCGTTAAAGTCACAAGCTGAGCTGAAATCAAAGGAAGAATTGGTCATCTGTAAGGTCACAAAATGTCCAGATCTATAAGAGAAAAAGCCTAAAAACTTCAGAGTTTTGGAAGAGATGCAACTCCCCTTGCTGGGTAAGAGTCATTTGCTAATGGAGGAGGGTCAGAAGCAGACCTTTGCTATGGAGATACTGTCCATGATTGCTTCACCCACAGTTCTTCTCCATTCTGGTAAGAAACTAGGCTCTGCTCCAGGAAGGTGATGTCTGTGTCCCTCTCAGTGGTGGCTTTGGCCATTGCTTATGGAGACCAGTGAGGAGCTCTGGGGCTGGCAGGGTGTACCAGGCAGAATGCATATTTCTAGGTTCAACACGATGTGCCGAAAGGCTGTACTTTGAGGATGCATCCACTGGTAGAGGAGGTCATCTGCCAAATCCCCTCCCAGGCCGTTGGTGGGACAAAATATAAAAGGCTACTGACTTCCCATTAGGGGATAAAGCAGCCTGGATCAGATCGCACTGCAAGTGAGGACCTGCATAGTTAGCCCTGGGGCCCTGTAGCAACGTTTCGCCTTCACCTTGTCATGCCAAAAGACTCTTCACCATAGCCAAGTGCTGCACATCCCTTGGAAAGGCCTAAGTGTAGAAAAGGAATGCTGCCTGGAGCTTCCAGCACAAAGCTGGTGGCTTCAGTGCTACCCTGATGTCTCCCCTGCACCATCGACACAAAGTTGTTCCCTGATTTCATCGTGTGAGGCAGCAATTAAGGACATCAGTTGCTGAGCGGTCCCTGTCCCATTGTTTCCTGAATGACAGGTTGTCGTCCCATTTTGCCAGAAAATCAGCTCGCAAAAATACTTTGCATAGCGTGGGAACCATTGCATTGGAAGGGACTGCGACTACTTTGTATGACCCCGTTAGTAGAAAGAGCTGAGAGGTGAGCAAGGAGGACCTGTCCTGAGACTGAGTGACAATCCCAACCCTCTCCTGAGGGCAGCTTTGAAGAGACGTCTTCAAAGAACATATCCGCAGCATGCAGACAGAGGTGCTAGGGTTGGCTCTGGGATTTCAGACGGCTGCAGCTAGCAGTAGGGATAGCACTAGGCTGCTTCTAAACCCCAGCCACGTTGTGCTGTGAAACCAGCAGCTGCCGTCCACGCTAGCTCAGATGTTTCTGCGTTGCCTTCACCACTCATGCATATTTTCTTGATTTGCTTGATTAAGGAGAGAGACATATCATATACACTTCGTGGTGGCCCAGTATGTGCAATCCGTTTCAAGACAGGCTGATATTTATGTAGTTTATTATAAACAGATTTTCTTTATTTTCCAGCATAAGGCAGTGGAATTGAAAATTCTGTTTCCTGACACAGGTAAACAGAAGTGATTTAACGTTTCAATCCTGGAGCACCAAACAAGATATAATTGTAACTGGGACGACGTGTAGCAATTAGATTTAGTGTGGAGAAGAATAACCTATTTAATATTGGTAGGGGGAATAAGTGGATGTGTGGGCTTAAATAAACCACAGACAAAATAAACCACAGAAATCAGGCAATAATGCAGGGTGCAAATTCCTCCTCAAACCCCTGCTACAAATCATGCCAAGTAATTGAGATGGTATCTGCAAAAAAGGCACCTCTGGTGACTACAGAGGTTGGTCCCAACATGTTCAGTACCTACAGTGTGTTTCAGAGACACCATAGGGCTAGGACTGAAGGACTCCTGAAGAGCAGATTGGTACCAGTATCTGTTTGTGTTAGCATTTCTTCACCTTGTGCATGCTGAAGAGACAAATTTGAAGGGTCTGAGATAACACCGTGGGCAATTCTTCTGTGCCCACAAGCAGAGGTTGCATGTGGGTCTCTGAAAATCTGAGTTAGACATCATGCATGACCGGCGCCACTGACTAGCATCCCCCAGGAGGCCCTTCCCATGCCCTGGGTACCACGTAAGGGCCAGGGATGCTTGGTCCTGCTGTGGGCTCTTCCTGTAGGCAGTGCTGCTGTCCTGACTTGGCAGCTAGGTCTCATACTCGGTTTGGGAGAGAAATCGTTCTTTAATTGTTCCTTCTGAGAGCAGCTCCTATGAGAGCTGTTAATGCACGTTAATCTCTGGGATTGGGGACCTTTACTGCCAGCACTCGGAGGAGGAGAGTTTGCATAACAGGAACGACAGATCTCAGAAGGGAATAAATAAAATACAGCGAAAGCAAGTCTTATTGTTTTTAACTGACTATCTGCTAAAAGAAGGCAATTTGGAAATGTCATGCCTAATTTGAATTTTTGAATAATTCATTGTGTCTGTGTAGCAGAAAGTGATTGTTTGGTCCAAAAATAGGAGACATCCCATTAAGAGGAAGAGAAATTGCGATAGACTGGTAGCCATCAAAAATAACTGGTGTGTTGCTTTTCAAAGCCCTTTGTTCTGGATGACTTCGGTGAGACCAGAGGCTGGGCTGAAGCACTTGCATGTTAATGTTGTACCCAGTGTAATTTTTGCGAGCAGATTTTCTATTTTGCTACTTCAGTGAAAGATAATCCTCCAAAATGAGAATAATAAATGTTATAAAAGAATGAGGTACAACCAACTTTTGTAAGGCTGTCTGGGTATTTCGCTGTATCAAGTGCAAACAACCTTAACAATTTGTGACAATAGTCCACTCATCTTGAGGGAATGTCTTCAGGCTGATTAGGATTTCCTTCAAGGATGTCTTTAATGAAGATTACTCCAAGCATTTTGGAAAAAAAAAAAAAAAAAAGTAATTTGAATCATTCCTGATGCACTTTAGTATTCAGCATCTGAAATGCAAATTTATGCATAATTGTGTTTGGAGAACTATATAAGATAGCTGCTATAGATGTTTTGAACCCTCACAGGAGATTCCAACAGGTATGCTTGAGTGCACAGGCTTTAAAAATCACTTTTCTTAAGCCTTCCTGAGAATTACCTTTGCTAATTCATTTACTTTCTGAAAGTAAAACTAGACATGATATATGATCACAAGAGTTATGTCTTTAAATCAATTTGACTGCTTGCATACATTCTGCAATATTTTTGCCTGCTTTGAAACCTTTCCAGGAGGGCAAAATACTTCTGATTGTCACTATTAGAAGGCCCTGTGGTTCTCAGTGTCCTGCTGTGACCAGTGCAGTACTTTGCCCCTCAGACTTTTTTTCTTCCTGCATGGTCTTGCCATGGCTTCAGCCAGAGACCAGCCTGTTGAACAGGTCCTCCCAGTGTCTATGTTCTCCTGAGACGGCGGATGACAACCCATGTGGTAGGAACGAAGGAGGAACCGCAATGATACTTCAGTGTTTGTGTGCCAGCAGAAGTTGCTAAATAACAAAGCCACGGCAACTGTCCCCTGATGAGGTCAAATCATCTTGACATCCTCGTGAAGCTCATTACCAGCCCCTCTGATTAGACCCCCAGTGCTTTTCTGTTGTGTGAGCTTTAATTGTGGGTCAGTAAGTTGTCTTAAAGTGTGTTGTAGATAAAGTGAAGCAGCTCAGATGCCCAAGAGGAAAATCACGGGACGCGCACTGTGTTTGTATTTCTTTGTCACTTCATGGCAAATACCAACATGAGACATCTTTCATTTGTGTTTGACCCTTGTGCTTGGAATTATCCAGGACTTTAGAGACCTTTTACCAGGTAACCCATAATTTTGAGATTTCCTGCAAGTGTAAAATCGTTGAATAGAAATAATGAGATGATTTACTGTCAGAGACTTACCTGGTCCCTGCTCACATGAAATGACAGAAGGTGAAGTGTATTTTGAAAGGTGGTTACACTTGTTCCTCATGTTTTAGGACTAATTGCAAATACTCTTGCTTCCACCTTTTCATTTAACCTTATTTGTTGCTTTTAGCTTCAGGAGTGTTAAAAGACCCTCTTAAAACCTTTGTACACATGATTTTCTCTATCCATCAGAAATCTGTTCTCCATGGGGAAACCCAGCAGGTTCAGATGCTTCGTGCCTTTAAAAGCTTAACACTTTTAACAAGTCGTGTTTGGAGCAGAGGTTTAATAATGCCTTGTACCAGTCCATCCTGTTGGGAGATTAACATTTTCCCAGGGAGGGGGTTTCCAGATGGGAAACCACCGATCTTGGAAGGAGGGCAACTCTGACTGGAGATCCCAGGTCTGCAGTGTCTTCCAGGCATGGGGGCAGTACAAAAGTGCTCTCAGTTCAGGTTTGAATTGGTAGGTGCTGGGGAGACACATCACCTCAAAGTACTGCCCTTGCTTATTGCCAGACAAAATGAATTTTATTGTGGATGTTTAGAAACTTTCACGGGAATGAAAAAGGAAAAAAAAAAAAGTAAGGGTTGTAAGTCAAGTACTAAAAAGGCAGGAGTGCTAGAGCAGACACTGCCAGTGCCTTCCTCCCTTTCGTGAACACCGCGTACAGGGCAGACGTGCATCCAAGCCCTCGGTTTAAGCTGCCATCCGGCAGCTCTGAGTGTTGCGTTTGCAACAGTGGGGTTAGCTCAGGGGATTTCTGTTCTGATGACAAGTCGTATTCCAAGCTTGGGAGTCCGGTCTCTGCAGCGCACTTCCGTTGAGAAAGTGCTCGCTAACCCAGGAGTGCTGCCAGGCTTGTTTGCCCAAAGTCCTGACCACTCAGCCCTGAGCCTGCTTCCTCTTGCCAGTGCCAGAAGCAGCATGTGCCACCAACAAGGGCACTCGTTACTGCTCTCCCATGGTCTGGCTGGGCTGTGACCTTGTCCTGCTGTAGCATGTCAGCGTCACCTGCAAACCAGAGCTCTGTGGGGCATGGTCAGCACAGGAACAAACTGCAAAGGTTTTTAACTGCTGGACTCTGACAAGCGTTGCTAAACACGTGTTGGGACGGCTTTAAGTGGATTCCAACTTTTGCTAAAGCTTCATAGATTTTTGTGGCCCCAGTAAAGGGCACCTCTGCTGACCTCATGGCTGGAGGCACTGAACTCCTGTGAAAGAACAGTTGGAATTTTTTAATGTGAATAGACTGACCCAATTCCCTCACCCTCGTTCTCAGCAATGGCTCAAGTGATTTCAGTTAATCTTTCCAAAAACACTCAGCCTGAGGCAAAGAGAAATCGTAAGTCAGATGATTTTTGGCAAAATGATAAGGGGACAAAAGTAAGTACTTAGAAGGCAAACCAGTGATTGACATTAGCTATAAGCCTCCGAACTGCTGTGGTGTGTTGTACCCCTCTAGCTCAGCACAGGGCATGCAAAGATTTACACTGTGAAGGGCATTACATACCAGTAGAAGCTGAGCCTGCACTTGCAAGTTTTTGTCTTTGCAGACTGCTTGGCTTGGGCGTCACAGGATCACAGATCAATTGTTCTGGAGATCGCCTGATCCAACCCTGTGCTCAAAGCAGGGTCAGGCAGAGTGCGTTGCCTAAGGCCATGCCCTGTGCAGTTTTGAAGATTTCCGAGGGTGGAGACTCCACCGCCTCTCTGGGTAACCTGCTCCAGTGTTCAACCACTCTCACAGTAAAAACCTTTGTACTTGTATTTCAGTGGAATGTCCTGTGTTTCAGGTTGTTCCCACTGCCTCTTGTCCTGTCACTGGACACCAGTGAGAAGTGTCTGGCTCCATCTTTTTTACTTCCTACCATCAGATATTTATAGGTACTGAAAAGATCCCCCCTGAGCTGTTTCTTCTTGAGGCTGAACAACCGCAGCACTAGACCCAGCATACCAGATGTGGCCTCGCCACTGCTGAGCAGAGTGCTGCCATTAACCTGCTGGCAATGCTCCTTCTGATGCAGCCCAGGACATTGGTGACCTTCTTTGCTGCAGGGGCACATTGCTGACTTCTGCTCAGCTGCTTGTCCAATAGGACTTCCAGGTCCTTTCCTGCAACTGTTTTCCAGGCAGTTGGTCCCCAGCAGGTACTGGTGCATGGGGTTATTCCTCCTTAGGTGCAAGACTTAGCATTTCCCTCTGTTGAACTTCATGAAGTTATTCTCAGCTCAATTCTCCAGGTCCCTCTGAATGGCAGCACACCCATCTTTGTGTATCATTGGTGACCCTGTGGAAAAGTGTGAAGGGGTAGTAGTCTAAGGGCTGGACACAACTCAAAAGTCTTGCCACAGTGTCCTGGATCCAAGCTCCCAGAATGCAGTAAATGCCCTCAGACAGCAAGACAGGTTGGGCCTCTGTCCTCTGCAGCAGGGAGTCACCTACTACTGTCACTCATTGATCTCTCCTCTGCTGCTGCATGGCTCAGGCTTCATCAGCATGGATGCTTTGATGGACAGAGCTCCCAACACCTCATCTCCTACCTGGGCACCAAACCTCTTCTGTAGCTTCAGATCTGCAGAAGGAACAGAAGCCTTGCTCCTCTTGCTGGAAGTCACAAGCTTCCAGCCTTTACCATCGTGGGAGTGTCCCTTTCCCAAGCAGATAGGCACAGGCTCTGCCTGCCTTCCTTCGATACTGTTGGGAGTTGAGGGTCCTCTTATATCTGCAGGGTCTCAGACAAGATCCAGTTGGTCTCTTTCTCATCATTTCTGACACTTAAGAGTTTGCTGGCCTCCTGTTGCAGATCCTCTACTTGGTGGCACAGGTCCCCCACCAACACACATCTCCTACAGGCAAGGAGACAGCCTCCCACTCCAGGCTTAGTGAGAAGCTCCAGGCACTGCCTGCAGTCCCAGACATGATGAGCCGCAGCCTCCATCAGGAGCTTGCTCGGAGCTGAGGCCTCTGCCATGTCAGGGACAGTTGCTCCCAATAGTGCTGGGAAGAACGCCCCGTGGCACGTCACCACCACTGCGAAGCAAGTCTATGCTGCTCTCGGCGTCGTTTGTGAGCCCTGTCTGTGTGCCCCTCTGGGCAACCTGCTGCACAAACTGCTGCATCTCTTAACGGCCGATCTTGGCTGCCCTTTCAGCATTGGTACCATCCAGGAATCTCTGGCTTAGATTTAATGTAATTTCATCTGGATA